GAGAGAGAGAGAGAGAGAGAGAGAGAGAGAGCGCTGCTGTGATTGTCCTTAACACCAGCAGGCTCTGCTTGCACAATCCTGGTAACTCAACAACCCGGCAAATTTGCCCTTACCTAGAACTCCCACCAGTCTCCCTTCCATTTCAGGTGTACAGGACCTCTGCCAAGGGTTCCTGCTTTTCCTAGATGCTGAACCTAGGGTACTTTAGCTATTAGAATAGTTCACATTTGTTCCTTGCTTCCTGGCTACCCATGAGGGCCACACAGTTCACCTGAACCCGTTGGTCATCTACAGGCTCTCATCAGGAACAGAAGAGCAGTGAGATGTGGTGGTATACACCTGTAATCACAGTGCTTGGAGGCTGAAACAGGAAGACTTCTTCAAGTTGGAGGCCAGCCTGAGTTACAGCCTGAGTTCTAAGGCCAGCCTGGAATACATACTTAAGAGACCTTGTCTCAAAGAACAAAGTTTAAAAATGCTAGGGGTGCAGCTCAGTGGTAGCACACTTGCTTAGTATGTGTGAGGCCTTTAGTTAAAGCCCCAACATGGTAAAAAAAGAATAAAAATAAAAATTCTCAAATCATAAGTACCTCATAAGCTAGGCGCAGTGGTGCATGCCTGTAATCCCAACACTGGGAGGTTGAAGAAGGAAGATCATTGTGAGTTTGAGACCAGCCTGGGCTACAATGTGAGCTCAAGGCCAGCCTGAACTGCATAGTGAGACCTTGTCTCAAAAAGCCAAAAAAAAAAGTATCTCACAAATCAGGGCAGGCAGCTGGGGCCACAGCCAGGGTGACAGGGGTCCCTGAGCTGCAGCTCAGGCAGAGCCAGAGGGATGGGTGAGAGAGCAGGCCTCCCTTCAGGGCCTCTCCTCCAGTGAAAAAGCCTCTTTTCTGTCACTGGCAGAAGGGTTTATTTCAGGGGTCTGCCCACAAAGTGACTTACAAATCCTTCCTTCCCACTGGGCAGGTCTGAGCAGAGCCTGGGCTATGCCGCTCCCACCCCCCTCACAGTGCCCCTGCGACAGGATCCCTCCCTCTCCCAAAGCTGCTGAGAAGTTGGGCAGAAAGGCAGCCAGGGCTGTTATCTCTCCAGACAGCTGTGCAGAGCTGGAGACAGCAGCTTATCAGGAAGCCTGCAGTGATTCACAGCTCAGTCCCCGCTTCTCTGCTGAATAGTAATTTCCAGCTTGGATCTCCACTCAGTCTCTCCTCCCCCTCTCCCAAGGGTGTGCTGTCCTTTTGCAGAGGGCAGTGAAGAGGAGTCTCCCTTGGGGAGGAGGGCTCTGTGCCTGCCTTTTGGACAAAGCTCGGTCTAGTGGGAGGAGGCTGCAGGTTTAGGGGCCCTAGCGTTTGCCATCCTTGCCAGTGACCCCCCAGGAGAGCTCTTCCATGTTCTCCTTCCTGTCTTAAAAATGCAATATGCTTCTCTCTGTCCCAGAACACAGGGCCCCTTCTGGACACAAGCTCACAAGTCCAGAGCCAGCCAGGGAGGGCAGTGGAGAGAGAAGCGAGGGGCTAACAGCACACTCCTCCTACCATATGAAGGCTGGCTGGTTCCTGTACTGGATTCTGAAGATCCAAAGGCTGGGGTAGAGGGTGGCTTCCAAGGCTAACCTGGGAGCAGTGGATGCATTAGCACAGCAGGAGGTTAGGAAAAAACCTGAGGACAGAGCCATTTTTACATTTGCTTTATTGGAAGCAAGATTCCAGCTGTGGGGTCAGGGAAAGTTCCACCCTAGGTCTCTCCCTCTAGGACAACCTGGGGAAGGGAATACTGTAACAGGATGAAAGTAAAAAGGGAACTGGTCCCAGAGAACGGTGCAGAACACAGACAGGCTCAACATCTGATTCCTCTACCCTCAAGCAGTCAGTTTCTAGGCCTGTGAACTCTTCTGGCAGCGCGAGAGCGATTCCAAGAGCTCTTCTGGGCTGGTCCCCTCCACGAAGCTGTATGTTTTTAAGCCACAAAGTCCCAAACAAGTCCCCTGCCTACCATTCCCTCCCTAGGAAGGACCCAAGATGGTTCAGTAAAGCCAAAGGTGGAGCTCCACCCCTTGGGTGAACCTTCCACCAAGCCTCCCTGGGCAGGTCAGGATCCTCTTCTGCCACTCCCGGGTCCCCTCTCTAGTCATTTGGGGTTCATGCTGCCGGTCTGAGGTGCTGTGTCCAGGATGTGGGCGCTTGAGGACCGAGTTGTGGAAATTGGAAATGTTTCTGAAGGTGGAGGTGCTGAAAATCCAGTGGCCCAGGTGGCTCAGGGAGTTCAGGCCGTTCGGTCCTCGTCTCCAGGCCTCGGCTCGGGCTGTGACCTCTTCGAGGCGCTCCCTTCAGCCGCGGACTCCCCGGGACCCCTCTTGGCCGTCGGCGCGGCGGGTAGGGATGGCAGGCTGGGGCGGGGACCCGGGGGCTGATAACCAAGCTGGCAAGGGTCCAGAGCATCCTTGGACAGCAGGATGGCGAGGCCAGGCACGTTCTTGAGGACACTGAGGCTGGCGGGTGGGTGGTCGGGCCCCGGGGGCAGGCTCTGCCACACCTCGCGCACGCTCCGGTAGCGCAGCCGCGTAACCTGGTGCAGCCCTGCCAGGCGGCGCTTCAGTATCTCCGCGCACGTGACAGTCTTGGTGGCGGCCCGGCCGCAGCCGCTGAAGACGATGGCGCGCGTGGCCGGCTGCGCCATGCTGGCAGTGGCGAAGGCCAGCAGGTTGCGGATCTTGCTGCCCTCTTTGACCCGCATGTGCACGGCACCGGGCGCCAGGTCTGCAAAGGGTCCCGCGCCCGCGCCGCTCACCTCGGGCCCCTCCTCGGAGCGCACCTTACGGAAGTTCTCCATGTGCCCTGGTCGCCATAGGGCCGCTCAGCCCTGAGGCTGCATGGCTCGGCGTGGACGAGGTGGCGGGCGGCGACCCTCGGTGTTTACGTCCCTCCACAGCCTACAATATTCTGCTCCGCGCCCTCCACGCTCTGCGCTTTCAGTGCCCTCAGCTGCGCGCTTTTGGCCAAAGCCCAGCCCGCTAGCCAGGAGGCCCCGCCTTTTTCAAGCCCCGCCGCTTAACCAGGACTGGCTGTCCGTCTGTCCCCGCCCCTCCGGGCCCGCCCTTCTCAGGCCCCGCCCCTTTTCCGGATTAGCTCGTTTCCCAGACCCCGCCCTTCCCCAGGTCTCAGTCCCGCCCCCTGTCCTGGACTGGTCCGGCCAGGCCCCGCCCACACCCGGTCCTTGCCCTTCGGATCCAGCGGCGTCCTCACTACCCCGAAGAGCAAGCAGCTCGGATCCGCCACCGCCCTCCCTAGCAGCACTTTTCAAAGACAGCCTTTTCAAAAACTGCTGCGGTGCCGTCGCCGCTTCTAGCTAAGTCCCCGAGCACTCCGGCCAGGAAAGGGCGCCCCTGCCCCTGGGAGGCTTCCACGCGGTCCGCTAGCCCTATGTCCCCACTTCCAGGGTCGAGGCTGAGAGCTGCCAGCGACAAGGAGCAGTCCACAGCAGCGCGACAACCCCCGGTCGAGGTTCTCGCCACGCTTGAGGAGCGCGAGGCTCCCAGGTCCGCGGCAAGCTCGGAGCCCAACACATCTGGGGCTGCGCCCTAAAGCGGATAGGGAAAGCTAGGAGACTTCTCACCCAGGGACGCTGAGCTTCCAGCCTTACGCCTGGAGTCCACTTCATTTTTCTTTCTTCCCACTGAGCTATGCCTCCAGCCCTTTTTATTTAGAGACAGGGTCTCGCGAAGTCCATGTATTGCCCAGGCCAGACTTGAACTTGTGACCCTCCTGCTTCAGCTTCCCTGCGTGCTGAACATCCACACCTAGAGCCGCCTAGTTTGGGGAGGTGACAGTCCCGCTCCTGACCCCGGAAACGCCTCCTGCAGGGATATTCGTCGTGGTCGGATCATTTTCCAAGGAGGAGATCCTCGAGAGCGCATTGGAGAGGAGGAGGCAGCCTAAACGCCTGGCCCTCAGTGGCCAGAGTCTGAGCGCTCCCTCCACCCTATTTCCGCCTATTCTGAGACCCGGAGTCCCCTGTGTGCTCGACCTAGACCAGGCCTTGCCCCGGTCCTGCAGGTTCCACGCGGGACCGCGGCCGGGAGAACACGGGGACTGTAGAGCGCGCCGGTAGCAGGGAACTGGGCTGCGTGCGATCTGGCGGTACGGACTAAAAAGAACCGCAGATTCGGATCGGCCCGGGCGGAAGCCTGAGACTAGACCCTGCCTTGGTGTGGGTGGATGGGTGGGGAGGGAGCGAGCCCCCTGTCTGCGGGACCAAACAAGCCTGGAGGGCCGTGGGGCGGAGCAGTCGGGGATCTGGCAGCGGGAGAACTGAGGCTGGCAGCCGCGGGCTCAGGCGGGGCGAGCGTGGGGTGCGTGCCTCAGCCCCAAGGTCCCCGTTTCGCTGCACCGAGTGAAGGCAGAGAAGCCTCGCTTCTTTCTTCTTCTCCCGCAGCGACAATTAAAATGCAAATGCGCTGCTATCCGCCGGGCCTCGGGTGACAGCTTGCTCGCTCTCTGCGGTGCCCCTGCCTAGCCCGGGGCAAGGGTGCGGGACTGCGCGGGTGTAAAGCAAGCTCAGAAGCCGGGAAGCTGTGGGAGAGGCGGAGGAATGGGGATGGCATAGGCGCGGAAGGAGGTGGGAAAGGGAGGGGAAAGCGCGCAATGCTGTTGAGAACCCAGGGAAGGGGCTCAGCTGGCAACACATAGGCATTGAGCGCACATTGGAACTGAAACGACCATTAAGTCTGGACAACGAGGTAAGACCGTCAGGTGCGGCTCACTCACATCTGTAAGCTCAGCATTTGTACGGGAGATCGAACTCAGGACCTTGCGCTTCCCAGACAGGCACAGATGCCAGTGAACTATCTCTCTGGCCCAAGGGCCTTTCCCTGTAGTCCAGGCTAGCCTCGAACTCCCTATGAAGCCCTGGCTGGCCTCAAACTCACCGTGATCCTCCTGCCTCACCTTTCACCTAAACGCTGGAATTACAGGCATAGCCCACCACTTCTGTAAATTTAACCATTTAGTGAGACCTTGTTTTAAAATTTTTAAAAAAATTGAAAAGGTCTGGGGATGTAGGTCAGGGTGAAAGTCCTAAATTCAATCCCCAGCACTGGGGGGGGGGGGGGGAAGCAAATGCCTACCAAACACACAGGAAGACCCTAACTATTTGGAACATAAAAGCAATTTCTTTGTGTTTGTGTTTATAGATGTAAATGTATTTTCTCTTTGAGATAGTCTTGGCATGGTTTAGGCTGACCTTGAACTCGCAGAAATCCTCCTGCTTCAGCCTCCCAAGTGTTGGAATTACAAGCATGTGCCACCAAGCCTGGCCAAATATAAATGTATTTTTAAAAATAACCTGCAAGGAAACAGCACATTGATGCCTGTTACATCTGCAGCCGCATCCGGTTTCTGTTGCCCTCTTTAGAAAAGGGTCACTGAACATGAATTGAATGCAAAATCAAGCATGGTGCAGCATCTTAAAACAGCCTGCACACAGGAGATACTGGCCCTGAAGCCCAAGCATTTCCAGCTGATTCTGCCTCTGCGTGACCTGGACATGTCATTTCACCCCATGCCTGTCATCTGTGAAATGCGGCAGATGGACAGTAACCTGCTTCATGGAGTGGCTGTGAGAACTGTCATAGTCTTAGAATCTTTGCTGGTGAGGTGTGTGTGTGTGTGTGTGTGTGTGTGTACCCGAGCCTTGTACAAGCATTCTGACAATCTTAAAAATTGTCAAAGGGAGACAAGGGGGAAGAAAGCTGGTGACAGGGAAACAGGAAGAGTCTTGGAGCCAGGCGGCAGTTTCCTACTGCCAAGGACCACTGAGGGGTGGTGCTGCAGGAGGTGCTGCTGGCCTGCTCCGGTCTTCCAAGGCCACCTCTCACTCCAGAGTCAAGGGAGATGTGATTGACAGGTATCTTCCGCTCTCTTGCTGGTGGCGGTGGCAGTGGCAGAAACTCTTGTCTCTCTTGGGCAGGGATTGGGAGTCAGGGCTCAGGAGTCCAGGGAGCAGAGTCATCAGACACCCACCCAGCTGGGCTTGATCCCCAGTATGACGGGGGTGGGGGTGGGGGGTGGTCTTGATTGTTGGGCGAATGTGGAAAAACTGAGTCCCTGAGACCAGAGAGGTTAAGAAAGGTGCAAATGTGCCAACCACAGCCTGAAAGCAGCAAGGACAGGTACTGGGATCCAGGCGGGCCCTCCTCTAATCCTGCTATCTAAGCTGAGCTTGACGGGAGATACATTTTTGTACCTTTTTGTTTGATATTATTTTTCAGTCCTTGAGATTGAATGTAAGAATGCTGAGCTACATACCCACTTGTTTTTACTTTTTTTTTTTTTTGCTCTGAATGCCTTCAGGGCATGATTGGCTGGCTTGAGTTCTGGGGATCCAACCACAGCAACGTGAGTCTGATTGCTTTGTTGAAGCAGCCACTTAAAGAACTGAGCTAAGGGGCAGGCCCCCTTGTTTTTACTTTTAAAAATTTAAACTTTAACATTATTTTTTCTTATGATGCTAGAGATTGAACCCAGAGCCTTCAAACTGAGCTGTATCCATGGTTCTTTTGAATTTTATTTTTAATTTTGAGACAGAGTCTCATTGAGTCACTAAGTTGCCTAAGGAGAGTTCAAATTTACAATCCTGAGAAGGAGGGATTATAGGTATCTGCCATCTGGCTTGACTTTATTTTATTTATTTATTTATTTATTTATTGCGGAACCAGGGATTGAACTCAGGCCCTTGAGCTTGCCAGACAAGCACTTATTCTACTGAGCCATCTCCCTGGTCCCTTATTTTGTTTTTTATATTTTGTATTATATTTTTGTTCAATCCTGGAAATTGAACCTAGGGCTTTCTCACTGAGCTACATCCTCAGCACCCCCAGGCTAATTTTAAGCTTTATTTTGAGACAGGGTCTCACTCAGTTGCTAAGTAGCCCAGGCTGGGCTCAAACTTGAAGTCTTCCTGCCTCAGCTTCCCAAATGTTGGGATTATAAGCGTGAATGAAAGACCACATCCATCCTCCTGCCTCAGCCTCCTGAGTGCTGAGATAACGGGTACGTGCCACCACACCCACTGTTCACAGGATTTCTAAGGGCTAGAAATTAGGAGCAGTTTAAAGTGGTGCACCTAGCTCAGGGCCTGTCCTTGGAAGAATCTTCTCCCAAGCCTGCACACAGGAGTGTTGGACTGTTTGAGGCTAAGGTCCTCCATGGCCTGCTGTCCACACACCCAGCCACCTGAGAGCCAGGGACGAGGGACTGCCAGGGAGGAAGTGGAAGTGACTTGGAGGCCCAGCCTCCTCTGAAGTCTAACACAGTCATTTCCACATTATTTGCACTAAATTTGTTGGAAGGGAGCCCAGCCTTGTCCGCAGGGAGAGGAATTGACATCCACTTCTTAAAGAGGAGCAGCAAAGAATTGTGGGTATTTCAAAAGCAGCGGGAAGCAGAAATCAACCTATAGAAACATATCTATGCAAAAGAACACTGACCTTGATCGGAGTAGCTGAGTTTATATCCGGGCACACAGTAACCGCTTAATAAAGGTTTGCTAAGTGACTGTGTGAGTGACATCTTATCTGAAGTGGCTCATATGGTGGAGGAACAGTTGCTTCCCAAGGGGTGCCCCAAGAGTTGAGTGGGCTTCTGGATGTCAAGGCACATTGTCAGTTGGGGTTGAACATGGCCATGAAGAGGGCATGGTCCAGGCGAAGCAAGGTCCTTGCCAGCCAGGCTTGCTTCTGCCTGGTGAGTCCCAGGGTCCTCTCAGCCCCATGTAGAGGTCACCAAAGGTCACTGGACCAACTCACTTTGTATTACATGAGAAGGCCTGTCTTGTTCAAGCCACTGTCATTTCAAATCTTTGTGTTTTGTTTTGGTGTTTTGAGATAGACTTCTCACTACGCATTTCAGGCTGGCCTTGAACTCACTATGTAGTCCAGGCTGGCCTGAAACTTGTGGAGATCCTCCTGTCTCAGTCTCCCAAGTGCTGGGATTACAGGAGT